GTTTACTTGATACCTTTTGACAAGCATAAATGACAACTTGTGACATGCTATTTGTCTGTTCAAGGGATTTGCCTTATTCTAGTTGCTCACAAATTTTATTGGTTCTTTGGATTTCCTAAACTGAGAGTTGCTTGCTATTTGTTTTTTCATTTCAAAGTTTTCCATCTCATAAATAAATACTCAATATAAATAGCTTCTCAATGTCCTATCATTTGGGTCTTATTTTAATATTGATTGATTCTTGGGCCTCGCAATGTCATCTGCTTCCACAAGTAATAGAAGACATCCGTATGTATGATAATATAGAATGTGCCCTCAAAGCATCTTCAAGGCCATCTAACCTGAATAGGTTGTATTGTAAGTGTGGATTATTTGAATTCTTTCAAATGGTGTGACGAATATGTTATTGTTGCGAACAATAATGTCAATTTAAAACGTCACAATACACAACAATCAAATCAAACCAATGAATCACAATAATGTGTCATGGTCAATCAAGATGCGAGTGCTATTCATGAAATGATGCTAAGTGAATTAGGATGCTTGTAACATTTTTTGTTTTTCTTATGTGTAACCAATAGTTGCTTATTTGTATTTATCTTTGTTATTTTTGTATTCATTTGATAGCCCTACAAGAAACAAGGCAAGCTCTCGATTTGGTGTATTTTTCTTCATTAAATAGCACCAAGCAAAACTTTGACAAATATTTTATTGTTTTTCATCTGGTGATTTCTTCTAATTTGGTTACTCCCATATCATTCGCAGAAATATGGGCACCAAAGAGAGAGACCACCTCCAAGTACTAAAACAAATATAGGCACTAAACCAAACGGTAACAATCACTGTAGAAAGAGAGAGACGCGCTTGTTTAGAGAGCCCCCAGTTTTAGCGTCAAAACAAACACTTGGTCATATATTCACACAATCTTTTGCTATCAAATAAGAGTAAACACTGCGTTCTGTTGATTTGTGCTCCATCCCTCCCATCTAGGAAAGAAAACGGTGTCCTACTAAAATAAGCTCAATATTGGGCGGAAGTTAATGTTTTTCGTTTTTTTTTTGGCATCATTTTTAGAAATAATTAGCAGATTTCAAATGCGTCAATGGGAATGGAAACCTAAACTGACAGCTGAGGCTCAAGTGGTATTACCATCACGACTTCAACTCATTCCAAACCAGAGGTTAAATTACTCCATTAGAAGTGTCATTTATCAGTCATTGCTGCGCAATTTGTACCTTCCTCAAGGAAATATTTGGAGCTTAAGGTTATTACAAAGATTTACAGTATTGAAACCACATTTCTCGACGCTATTTGAATGTGCATTTTATTTTGATTATTTAGAGCCTCGACTTCGCACCCATAATAAACAATCAGACACCTTAATAAACCATGCACTATTTTCTTTCCCGATATTATTCCAAGCTTCATCAGATGTGAAAAGAGGGGTTCTTTTGGAAAATATGCCTAATTGCCAAACCTTCAAAATCTGGACCTTTGGGTACATGAATAAATAGAACAGCTGTTTTTTGTGGGGTCTAGGCAACAGTGATTATGAGTTCACCATTCATGGAGAACTTATGAACGATGAGGGTGAGATAGAAAAGGGATGGGTGATAAAAAATAGTTATTGAAATGGTGCTAGATGAGGAGAGGTGTGATGAGTTTAAGACCTACCCAAAATGGGGTATTATTATCTAAGCCTCCATTGCACTTGAACCCTTTTCTTCTTTCTCTGTTTTTTTTTTTTTTTTAAGTCACCAGGGGAAATGGCCCCTACCCGATTTTTATAAATAAGTAGAGAAGCAAAGTACAACTCAGTTTAACATCCCTATTGTAAGGAATTTGGGCAACATCCATAAGTAGATGAAGAATATTAATGCAATCGGACGGTCTTGTACGTCAAATGGTGACATCAAAGGAAAACCATGACTTTCTTGGCAAAAGAATTGACCATCATTGCACTTGATAGTGTAAATTAAAGCCCCTCTTTTATGGTCTTACTAACAGTTTAGATGCATATAAATGTTGAAGAAGCAGGGGGGGCACCACCTTTTACTTTCTTATCACAGTCCTCACATATAAAGGAACCAACTCAATATTTCTCCTAGTCCACAACCGCACTGATTTTCATTGTCCACAAACAAGGGGTACTCTTCTACCCTAAAAATAGGGGCTTCGGCTTTTCATATATCGATGAACATGTTGTCTAGGTTTTTTGGTTTAAATCCAAGGCTCTATTTTATGAAAAAGAAAGTGCACGTTTTAGCACGCTTCTCCATCCTCAATTGCAATCCATTAAATGGTTATTAAGAAGATTGAGAAATATTTAATTTTAGTGCGAGAAGGTCATAATCATCCATAACGATCATATATAAAATCAATTATTTAGTAGTATATTATTGCAAGCACTCAAATCTAAAAAAACATTTATTTTGCAATGCACTTCTATGAACATCTTGGGGGCAATCATGATCCTTAAGTACGATGCGATCGTGATCCTTACGTACGATAGCTAACAATCTCGTTATGTACCACCCCTTGAGTTTTACCTAACAAACAATAATATACATAATGGAATTCCTATTCTTGATATATACCGGTCACAAATACCTTCAGCCATCAGATGTAAAATCAGATAACTTGAGATCTCTTGTATGCCCGTTTACATTAAAATAAAAAATTTATTCGACTCTGATCTAAGCCGGGATAGTACCCTCAACTAAAAGACTTCAACTGCAGCCAACAGTACACCCCTAAAAATCTTAGAGTTGAGATGTCTCACATGCCCGGTAAACTCAAAAAGATAAATGAAGAAAAAATCTTGGACTTTGACGTAGGCAGTGATAGTATCCTCAGCTACCGGTCTTTGAGTGAAGCTAATAATGCAAAAAAAAGATTTGCTACTCCCTCAGGAGTATATCATCCATTTTACTCTATCTGGCAAAACACATGTTAAAAGATACTTTTTAGATTTTCAAATTTTGGGGATGTAATCTATACATCTATAAATACAATCATCCCAATAAAAGAAATATTCAAAATAAACTCTCTGTGTAGGAAATAATATGTACTAAAGAAAAACAAATGCTTCAAGATTGAATAGAAACCATCTATTTTTTGAAAAGCTAGATCTAATTGTCACAAGCCTTAAAATTAAAATTTTTATTGTAAAAAATAATTATCCAGTAGTTCTTACGTGCTTTCCAAAATTTTAAACTGAAAAAATTATATGTTCCCATGAAAAAATTGAAAAATTTTTGAGTGAGGGGGTAGATACACAATATATGCTCCCACGAAAGTATAATATACGGCCCTACTTACAAGAAAAATAAAAGAGTTTAACAATGGTTTATCAAAGTTTAACAAACTTATTGTATACTTATGCTAACAAAAACAAAAGTATAGAAACATCTGTCATTAAAAGTAAAGTGGAGAGCAAAGTGTGTGCACTAAAGACTCAAACCATTGGTTTTCACCACTCTCTCTTCTCTCTGGACCAGTGGGTCAAGAGAAGATCTTCTTTTCATTAAAAGGAAAAGCAAAATATTAAGCTCCAAACTCCAAAACCCAGGGACTTACTTTGGGGCCCGAACCAATGCCCGAACCTAACTGGCCCCGTCACTTTATTTCATCGATGTTAATTAATAATGAAACCTCGTAAAATGTATTAAGTGATAAAGACGACAATTATTATGGGTTAAGAAGAGAAGGTGAATGCTTTGATTACGTGGCATGAACTTGGACTACGTGGCGCTGTGTTCTCCGTATCCGCCGGCAGTGGTGGAGGGTGCCCCTCTGCCTCTCCTCTTTTATTTTCTCTCTCAATTGCTTCTCTACTTATATTTTTATTCGTCTCACTTATATATATATATATATATTTTTTTTATTTTTTTCAAATGATTTTAAAAATCATCAAAATTACCCGCGTTTGCTCTAAAATTAACACCATTGCGATGTTAGATGAAGTCACCAAAAAAATAAGGCTTAGGTTTTATGAAAACAAAATAAACCCTAAACTCAAATCCTTGTCTGAAAAATAATTTCAGCAACGGAAATCACGATGGCTCTAAAATTAATTTTCAATGCCGACAATGAAATTTGAAACTAAAAAAATAATATAGATCTTGCGGATTTATGAACACTTATTTTTTAGAGCGAAATGGATAATATAGATAATTTGTTGTAATATACATTTTTTTGAAAGTTTGAAATAGATTTTTTTTTACAACCATAATGTTCAAGCCAAAATGAGCAATGTAAAAGTTTCCTTATGCTTGAATTACAATTTTCGACCAAAGGTGAGGCTTTACTTATTGGAAAAAGTTTATATAAGTACGAGGCTCTAAACAATCAAAATAAAATGCACATAAAAAAAATTCATTATAAGAGGTCATTTTGATGTACAAATATCTTCAAATTGATCACCTCGACATCAAGATAAATATAAGAAAAAAAAATAAAAAAATTAAAGTTTTAAAAATAGTGCATCATATAATAGGACAGTTAATTTTCAATATTTTTAAGTTTTCATAGATTTACTCAATCTACACTTATTTTAAAACTTTAAATTTTATAACTAGATATAAAAATATATTTTAAAGCTATCACAAAAACTTCAGGTAACGAAACCACGCTTCGCTTTGATTGTTTAGAAACTTGGCTCTAACCGGAAAAAGAATGAACGGCCAATTCTTTAAAACTAGTTGGGCTGAAGATGCAAGCGATGTGCATTTTTAGACATTTTATCTCACCTCTTTTCTCTTCTATTTTATTTATTTATTATTTTGGTAGGAATCGAAGTCATTTCTCCCTCCTCTCGACTCTCTCTCTCTCTTTCACTCACGTGGTCCTCGTTGGCACCGATGTCGCTGAGTTGTACAACCCATCCGAGCCCATGGCTCGGTAGGCCAGGCAGGCTCGGAGAACCGTTTGCTTGGTCCAAACCGCAGCGAATAAAGTAGTCGGTAAACAATAGCAAAGGCCAAAAACAAAGGGGCAAAAATAGAGTTCGAGGTTGGGGCCATGGACGCTCATTGATTATGGCTTCAGAGGGAAGCTAAAATGATATGAGAGAGAGAGAGAGAGAAGAGAGAAGAGAGAGAAAGCTTGGCTTCCAAGACACCAGCAACAACTAAACCTACTCTTGTTCATCATCTTCTGTTTCCCCTCTCCAAAACTTCTCTCTCTCATTTTACTTCTTCTTCATCTGCTACTGCTTTTTTTTTTATGATTCTGCTACTTATTGTTTAGTTGGTACAGGAAAAATAAAACCCATCACGCAACTTTGCACGAGAAGCTCCACTGTAAAGCTAAGAAGAAAGCAGAGACCCTCAGAGTTTCACCCGTGATCCACCGAGCTTTAACACTCAATACCTTCTCTCTCTCTCTCGCTCTGTTATATATACAACCAAGTTGAGCTCACAAAAACCATAGGTAGAGAGAGAAAACAGAGAGACTGAATAGAGTTATTGAGAGAAAAGGGAGAGATTATGGGGTTGAGGGTGGTATTGGGTGTGTTGCTTTTGGTGCATTTCCATCTGGGGGCGCTTGCTATTCTTGACCCACTTGATTTCTTGGCTCTCCAAGCTATTAGAAAGAGCCTGGAAGATATGCCTGGTTCCTCTTTCTTGGCTTCATGGGACTTCACCTCCGACCCCTGCAACTTTCCTGGGGTGCTCTGTAACACCGACATTGAGCCCAACAAGGTGGTGGCTCTGAACCTTGGTGATGCTAGGGCAGGTGCGCCCGGGCTCATGGGCCGGCTGCACGGCTCGATAGGCCACCTCTCGGCACTCCGGGAGCTCACAGTTGTGCCCGGTCGAATAACTGGACCAATTCCTGAGAGTCTAGCTGATTGCAGAGAACTGATGTTTTTGGGCATAAGCAAGAATTTTCTCAGTGGCCAGATACCACCTGGTCTTGCTAGTTTGCAGAGGCTCCAGACCCTTGATTTCAGCTATAACCAGTTGATGGGCTCGGTTCCTCATGGCCTCGGCTCATTGCCAGGCCTCGCAAACCTCATTCTGTGCCATAACATGCTCACCGGCTCTGTTCCCCCATTTGTTTCTCCCGCTCTGGTTCGCCTTGATCTCAAGCACAATGATCTCTCTGGTCCCCTCCCCTATACTCTCTCTCCTTCCCTGCAATATCTTTCTCTCTCTTGGAATCGCCTCAGCGGAGACCTGGGCCGAGTCCTGGACCCATTGCAGAGTCTGAACTATTTGGACCTGAGCATGAACAAGCTAACAGGGAGCATCCCCTCCGCCATATTTAGCTTCCCTCTATCTTCATTGCAGTTACAGAGGAATTCGTTTACTGGCAGTGTGACTCCTTTGGACGAAGTGAGTGTCGGAACTGTGGATTTGAGCTATAATCAACTGAGTGGGCATATCTCGCCATTGTTCGCCTCCGTCGAGAATTTGTACCTGAACAATAACAGGTTCACAGGGCAAGTCCCCGCGAGCTTCATCGAGAGAGTTTTAGTGGCGGGTATCCAGATACTGTATCTTCAGCACAATTATCTTACAGGCATTGAGCTCAGCCCTCAGGCCTCCATTCCTCTGACTACTTCTCTCTGCATTCAATATAATTGCATGGTGCCACCAGTCCAGACCCCCTGCCCTCTCAAGGCTGGGAAGCAAATGATCAGGCCTACGCAGCAGTGCAATGAGTTCAGGGGCTGAACACATTGCACCACTTCTCTCTCTAAAAGCTTGTTTAGCCACTTGTTTTCATTGGTTTTCTGATTCATTTATTTATCATCGATATTTTCCGCGTAATGATTGAAGGTCTCGATCAAGCAATGGTGTTGCAGAGATGAGTAGCGAGCAATAAGCAGCAAGGAGTGAAAATTTGGAGTAGGAAGAGAGGACCATAGATGGTTCCTCTGCTTTTTTGTTCGTTTAGGAATAATATTTTTTGAGTTTCTTTTATTTTTTTACTGCTACAAATGCAACGGTGTGAATAGAAAGTGTGCCACTATCATTCATTTTTTGTTTGTCTCTCTGGTTGTTGATTTAATTTCCTGCACCCAAGCTCTAGTGATGCTGTAGTTTTTATTAATATTGATGTACAATCTGCTCCTGCGGGATCACTACATGTTTTTGGCTTTTGTTGTTAAAGCACTGGGCTTACGGATTCGGAAGGGAACTGTTTGGTAGGCATTGTGCATGATATCGTGTGAATTAAGATATTATGCAAGTAAGGTGTACCGAAAATGCAATTTTGGTGCCTTGATATGAAAATCTATTGTTTCCCTCAATTATGAAATTTAAAGTTCCAGAGATAATAACGATCCAGCAGATTTATAAACACTTTTGAAAACTCTTGAAAATAGATGGTCCCGATAATGTGTTAGAAGATTTAACTAGAAAAGTTGGAGAGAACCGATTTGGGGGTTTTTAAGGTGCACTTTACTTGTACAGTATAAGGTAAGGTGGGTTGACGCTTTACATAAGCTTTTTCCATCATATAATTTAAAATACAGGTACATTATGTTGTGTCTCATTGAATTTTAGTTGATGAGGAATGAGTTTACTCATTCAACACATCACATCGTGAATTGTGAAGGTGTGGGGGCGTAGGTGGAAAGGATGAAGGGAGGGACCATCTCCTCTCTCATGACTTGAATCATATCCCTTTCCTTGCCTTTTGGATTGCACGAGATCTGATGATCATTCATTGCTACGCACATGCACCATTGTCTTCTGCTGTTTGCCCTGCCCTTTCCTTTCCTTTCCTTTCCTTTCCTTTCCTTTCTCCACAAAAACAATAGTAAGCGACTCACTCATCCAAGCTGTTGGTCAGAATTTGTTGCACCCATGGCTGGATGGTGCTTGCTAGTTGTCACGCCTGCGGTCTGAAGCAGTGATTCAAATATCCGAATCTGCTCTTGACTGGGTAGGCATCTGTTTTCCAAACAATTTACTTGATTTTTTAGTCGGCTGATCTGATATATGGGCGATTCCTTTGTCCGATGATAAAAATAAAAAATAAAAAAAATAAAAAAAATAATATAATAGTTGGGAAATTTTAGGGATTCCTTAAATCAGAATCATCCACTCGATCCCAACCCAACCCAGGATTCTGTGTCGGATCAGGGATTTCTAGGATTACGGTTTGGAGTTTGAAATTTTGAATGTAGTTATGATATGTCCACAAGCACAAAAGTCGATATTAATTTCATTTCGGTCAAAAAAATATGGAGCTAAAAAACATGTAAAATGAACAAGTGTGCCGGAAAATTGTTGATTGAAACGAACACTATTAGTTTGAAATGGACTGAAATAACTGAACGAAAAAAAAGAGTGTGTGCATACATATCTATTTCTGTGAATAACTTTGTTAATTTCTCATGCCAAATAAACAATTGAGTCTAGTTAGCAATGAGAGTAATCAACAAATAAACCAATATTTATGATTTACTAGTTCTCTAAGGGAGTTATATCCCAATTGGTTAGCAAAAACTAGATGAATAAAATTTACGTAGGTTCAGAGACTTCTGTTGAGAAGTTTTCTTCGAGAAAATGATTATGTTATTCAATACCATACTGTATTCTTCCCAAAATGAGATTTTTTTTTAAGTTATTTTGAAAATTGGGAGCTTCTTAAACATTTTTTATTTAAAATTCGGATGAACTTTAAAAAAATAATAACATTCCAATTGGTGTTCTGCTGGGGATGCTGTGGGCCCATTTCTAGATGTTATTATACCATCTGATTTCGCACCTTACAGCTTTGGGTGGTGTTTGTTTGACGATCCCTTTTAACTACGTTGCTCATAACGTCTAGCTACGATCATTCATCACATCTGGTTAAGATAAAGTATATAGAATACATGAAGATCCGAGCAGCTGGATTTTCAAGAAACTACTGAAAATTGGTAAAATTGAATAAAATTTGCTGAAGTTTGAGTTATATAACTTGAAAATCTGCCAACATTTTCATGAATATCCAAGCAGTTGGATTTTCAAGAAAACTGAAATTTGGTAAAAAGTGATTAAAATTTGCTGAAGTTTGAGTTATATAACTAAAAAATCTGCCTAGATTTTTTGATTGATCAAACTCAATTGCTGAGAGAGAGAGAGGTATATAGGCCTTATAAGTCCCTCTTTTGGGGTGGGCCAAACTGAAAATCTGCTGATCTGACCATATCCATATATTTTTTTGGAGAAATGCACACATCATATGAAAGTTCGATCATCTATCATGTGAAGTTGTGAACTCTTGAAATACCAGTGTTTTGAAATTCTGATCGGGAGGTTGGTTCAACAGCAGCTGGACCGATTTGCATCGTCAATCCAAGTCGGATCAAATTGATTCTCCAGTGTGAAAATCGGTTCAAATTTTTTTAAGAAATAACTTTAAATTTGTAAAAATTCAAAATTTGTAAAAAATACTAATAAACAAAAGGGGGTGGGAACCAGGAGACCCAGCTGTTCTAGATCACTCGGTTCCTTGACAGACTCACCTAGTTCTCTAGCAAAACGTAGTAAATCTATCAAAACTGAACTAAGTCCCGGTTCCAACCAAGAACGAGTCAATCCCCACCAACTCCCAATCATTGACAACTCGTGATCCAGATCGACGATTTCTAAAACAATGTGAAATACATAAATGCATGTGCATGTTAATCTCCACTATACGTTGATGACAGATGAATAAGAGTTAAAGCAATTAAAAATCCTAGTTACGAATATAATGAGACAAAATTGCAAATTAAAATCCTAGTTACGAATATAACCAAACATAATTGCAATTAAAATCCTCGTTCCAAATATAACCAAACATAATCCTGATATAGTACCCATGTTTTTCGGGATGGACATAGGTAATCCTCGTATGCATTTTGTATAACTTTGGATGGAAAGGTAAAATATTTGGTGGACCAGTTGTTTAGATTATTCATTAGGATACACAGGTAAAAACACAGGAGATTGAACCCAAATTTTTTCAAAATCATCTGCAGCTCGTTTGTGATAAATTTAGAAGAAAATTTTGATTTACGCATGTGCAGATGACTCAAATCAAATTCCCGATTGAATGTAGTGAAAATATTTGCTGCAAGAACTTAAAATTCAAATTTTCTTGAAAATAACCATCTTAAATCCCAAAATTTGGATAAGAAATAGGACCTGGTTTCTATGCAGCCAAGCCCGCATATGTAGAAATGCGGGCCTATTAATAAATCTATTTTTGAGATGGATTTTTGGACTTAATTTTTAAGGGCATGTAATATCTAACATGAAGATCATGAATATGAAAAATAAGTAAATTTAAAAAACTAGAAATAATAATTCTGGTAAGAAAATATTTGGACAGTTAGTTTCCATCGTTTTTAGATGGAACACCTACTTGCATCCATCTGTAAGATGGATGCTTTACGCTTTCTGGACCGCATTTATAGAAATGCGGTCCAGCCGGCATAAAACAATTTTCCTAAGAAATATCCTCCTAAGTTACTCTTTTGCCAGAGGAAGTTGTTGTCCAGTATGCTCCTTCAGAAGCATACTACATTTATGTGTGAGTGTGAGTGTGCGTGTACGTGTGTTGGGGTTTGGGGGGTTAGTAAGGTGGGAGTGGAACCAGACATCATGTTGTCGTGCCCACACCACCAAGGCAAAGGCCAGTGATTGCCATTTTGACCAGCCTAAGGGAAGTTTGAGCTTAAATTCATTTTTATTTTATTTTTGTAATAAATTGATCACAAAGTGAATCAAATATGATTTAAAAAACTCATGAAACCCCTATAACTACATATCTATATGTCCAAATAACACAATTCAGACATGCGAGACCATCACAGGGTGGTCAGTGGAGATCAACATTTACGTAGTCCATTCTTTGTGGATCTCCACCGCCCAGCATCGGAAATAGATGGTGGATACCTTCCTATGCCCATGTGGCCCTTGGGAGTAACTCAAAATGTAATATCGAGGAATACACCCGTTATGATTTCATTTTTGGGAGCTTAGTCGAGATAATAGGTAAGCCAACATATGGAAAGCCTGCAAATCCTATTTTAACAAACATGCTCTTACTTTGTTAATTTAAAATGAACAATAATAGTCATTCAAATAAAAAGTCTAAAGGTTGCCTTGTCGCAATTTGGATTATGGTCCTGAGTGCATTCCCAAACTGAGAAGCCTTTTACTTTCGAAGGTCAAAAACTTGTGAACTATGCATGGACCATAGATAGCATTCAGGCCATTGAGTTGAGATCCTTAGTGAATTATCTAAGTGTAGGTTGGTCCATGCTCTCTCAATATTGGGGGACCAAGCTTTTGGTTGAGTTGGGGGACCAAGCTTTTGGTTGAGTTGGGAGCATGTCAAGGGGAGAGGCAATTTTAAGTGGTAGTTTATTCCAAAATAAATAGTAAATAGGTATAATTAATAGGGAAAATTATGGATACTCCACGGCATATTTAAAAAGTTAATATTTTAAAGACTAAACTACCCTTTTAATCTTCTTTTACCCAATATATATATATATATATATCCTTGCCCAAAATGGAAAAGTGCGAAGGCTTCTTGAATTTGAAGTCAGATTTCGGTCCAGCACACTTTTGTGCTGGAGTATTAGACCGACTTTTGGTCTGGTACAAAAATATGCTAGATTGGCTTTGAATTCCTCACTACCGGTCTATATTTTTTCATTGTTTTTATTGCAGTTCAGGAAGAAATTTGCTAGCAAAAAATTGCGGTTCGACAAAAAATGCACCAGACTGGCTTGTAGCTTCTGACGATCCAAATTTTTGGTCATGTTCTTCAAATTCGACACTAGTTTTGTTGTGCCTATACCAAACAACATTTTTAGGCAAATTCTGCCGGTTCGGCAAATTTTGTGCCGAATGGGTTCCCATTTTGGCTTCGAGTGGCATCCCATATGAGTTAAGATAAACATGAGGGTACATGTACTCAAAAGGGTAGTGTCGTTATAAAAATCATAACTTTTTGACTTGGGGATAAAAGCAAAGTGGTTAGGGATGTGATAT